TAACTAAATCTATTGAATTCAGTATCCTTGGTGTGACTTCTGAGCAACTCCGCCAACTCTAGCTAAATCTTCTAAAGTCTTTTTCCCACAATTACCTTTTTTGTTTTCTTCATTGCAGTTAGATTATCCTCCACTTTTCAACAGTCCCTCACAAGTTTCTCGCTCACTCCAAATTTTCCTTCTGCTGCTTGATTACCGTTTTCGGCTGCATATTTCACTACTTGCAGCAGGACAGCTGCTCTTTCTGCAGGAGACATGTGCAGCAGTAGTGGTAATAGTAGTACCGCAAAGTGACAGTGGTACAGAAGTAATAGGAGTAGCAGATACTGGCACACAAGCCTAGAGCCTCTCACGGCTGTCAGTGTGAAAATAATGAACATATGAAATTATATATTTTAATATATAAGTCGCACCTGAGTATAAGTTGCAGGATCACTCAAGCCATGAAAAAGGTACTCAAATGTGTGAATGAAACAAAACACAACTCCGTCAATTTTGTGTAATACAGGGCATTTAAAAGTTTTTTGTTTTGTTTTTTTCTGTTGAATGTTCCACTGCCAACAACCTACTGCCACTCTCCAGGGATATATTATTGTTTGCTTGACATGTTCCACACTATGGCATTAAACTGCTAAAACATACATGGAACAGCATGCATTCTTTTTTTTTTCCAATTTTGAAATTATTCATATGAAAAAAAAATAGACACACAAAATTAATCTCCCTACAAAACCACCCCTCTCTAAACAGATTACTGTCAAAGTGGCTGCCTCACCACAGATCTGACCAGTAACTTGACCTGGTGGCTTGACTCCATGGAGGTAGAAAAGTTTAATGTCATACTGTGGAAAGCAATAACATTTAGACTTCGACAAACTTTATTGATCCACAAGGGAAATAATTTGGACACAGTAGCTCACACATCACAAGATATAATAATAACGAAATGAAAAAAAATATATAAATGGTAAAAATAAATTAAAAAGTAGCAAAAATAGCAACAGACTGGTGTCAAATAAGGCATAATTATAGAAATGTGTATGTACAAGAAAAAAATAAATATAAAAATATCGTAATATAACTATATCTCAACTATATTTGTTATGTAAGCAGACAACAACAGCAAAGTTCTGTACTGCGTCAAATCATTTAAGGTCTTCTTTACTGATAAATATGAAAAATGTAATGACACTTTCAGCAGCATGCAGCTTATTATTAGTGGTAATACCAAGGTGCCGTGCAAATTCTCAACCTTTCATTTAACGCTCGCGCTCCAAAACAAAGTCATATATTTTTAGATAATGGTTCACTCTTCTAAAAAGCCGAAATGACCCTTACCTTGAAGCCATCTCCTCCGGCGTTTCACATACCGAAACGCAGCTGTGAAATCTCTTATTTGTATCTACAGCCCGAGATGAGGACGAGCGTCACAAGAAAAAACAATATTGATTTTCGACCACCTCCTATACCTTTTATTTTTCTGCGCCAGTCGTTACGTCGCTTTGTGCATCCTGATTTCGACCATGCTTCATCTCACCGTAGCGCTCGAAGAATTTATAATGGATGCCGCATTATTTGTCACTACTATAAAATGATACATGGGGCTTAAACAGCTCCTCTCGTCCATAACAACTATTGGTTATCATCGCGAAAAACGTGCATTGAAGACGGTGCTGGGGTTTAATCTTGTGTGGTATATCTTTACGAAAACGATTGCATGTTTTTTCATCTCAAAACTCTTATATTTGGATAGCTACACTTGCGACTGTATAGAAAGGGCCATAAACAAGTGAATTGGACGCTTGCAGGGGATGTTAACCACGCGGTAACACAGTGGTGGCTTATGTTAGCGCTGAGTGAAAATGCCTTGAAGCTTTAATAAATCAAGATCATTGCGACTGTCCCTGGAATACAAACCCAGCGCTTCGTCGTCGTAAATTCAACTCTTTTTACGCTTCCCCTCCACGCACGGTTAACATCTATTCCGGGTCTGTGCGGAAAATAAAAAACAAACCGAATATGCTTTTTTACAACGGGTCCCTCTCCGATGAGCGGCGGTGAGCGGCGGCCAGTTTTATGTCTTTTAATTAGTACACCGTCGCCATAGTAGCGTCCAGCTGGCAAATAAACCCCGGGCTTAAACGCGAATAAACAATGGCGGCGGACGGACGGGGGCGAAAACAAAAGTGCAGAGGATTTGCGGCGTCGCGCGGCCTGCAGGGGGCGCGGGAGGCGGGATAAACAGAAGCAAAGGTCAGAATCCAGTTGAATGTAAAAACCGCTCGGGCGATGCTTTGTGTGCACCTGCCTGTTATAAGCGCTCATGAGGATTTTAGTTATGCCGATCTGTGCCACAGACTGAAATACATGGGTGGTTTTCTATTAGAGCAAGCTTTAACTTCAGGGACTGGAGCGATAGTTAAAGGTGCACTGTGTAACTTTTCTGATGATGGTGTTATTGCTTTGCCTTGAATGTTCCAAAGGGCCCATCTTATGCTATTTTCTAATGGATGTTATAATGTTTCCTCATCAAAAACAGACCTGGAGTTGTATTTTCTTTCATTCACGCATGCTTAACACACAAATCCTGCATATTTAGGCTGTATTCTCTCAAATAGAAAACACTCTGTTCCACCTCGTGATGTCATGTGGTAATACAGGAAGGGTTCCACTGTTTTTATACACCTTTACTTGAATCGTTTCAATTATTTCAGTCCCGGAGTTAGCCAGGCTGACGCCACCTAGTGCCTCCGCTCAGTTTCGTTTCTCTCCAGCGACTAGGTCAGGAATCAAAATACAATAGAAGGTTCGCAAAAACCCCGGAAGTGCAAGTTTGGGCACCAGCCAGTCAGGGAAGAGTGATATATTCAGTGTTGTCAACGATTCTCGAGATTGAGGATTTAAAGTCGAAACAAAGAGATGCTTGGTAAGTTTCATTAAGGGGAAAGACGTTATTGTCCTTCTTCCTATGGGATTTGGGAAAAGCTTAATATACCAGTTAGGCCGTTAGAGGCGCATTACATATGTGACGACCAAATAGTAGCGATTGGTTAAATGATAAAAAGTACCCGCCTACCATTAAGCAAACGAAATCTAAGGCTGCGAGGTCAGACGGTTTGTACGAAGTGAAACAAAGTAAAACCGGCTAATGAATCAGGCTATTCCGGAGTAGCCAATCTACCAAAATGGTAAAAGGCGACGTTAACTTGAAAACTACCACTGCATGCCATCACAAGATGGAGCAGAGCCTTCTGAGCTTTGACGATGTATGTGTGCTAATAAATGTAGTTAATACGATTAACTGAGATTCAGGAGCAGGATCACGCCTCAGCCGCCCTCTCCTCTCACCAGCGAACCACAGTTCACCTCGACCACACCTCTAATTTCCCAGAAGCCTATATGTAGCAGCCTTTCCCATCATCCCAGTTTGTCTCGGCTAACTCAAGCCCACCCTCCCATCCCTTATTTTGTCTTTCAGTCGTAAGACCCCTACAGGGGGGGTCCCGTTCCGGCTCGGCCAATTGTAGATTGAGACGGAGCCCCCACCCATAGTCTCAACCCAGCCATCTCTGCCTCGCTTCGTACATTATCAATAAACTTCTTCGCACTCTGTCGTTGTTGGCGTGGTCCTAGCTAGTGAATAAGGGGTTACTCAAACATGTGTGAATGAAACAAAACACAACTCCAGCTCTGTTTTTTGATGAGGTAACAACATTCTAACATGACTCAAAGCTCACAAAAATCTATTCTGTGTAATATAGGACCTTTAACATAACGTATCTGTCTTGCATTTCAATTATAGGTGTTTTTATTCTATGAAAAATAATCCGACTGGTTGTGTCACCTGCTTGTTCCCATGGAGACACATCAGTTTCATGCCATACTGCAGTTTCCATGGAGACAAACTCCACCAGAAAAGTTACAAAATAAACTTTAAACTACGAGGCAATGTTGCAATAGTCCATTATCAATCATATAATGCATTATATTTATATAGCGCTTATACTAGTATCCTTAGTGTCTTGCCTATGGACACAACAACAGTTTACACTAGAGAAGAGTGACTAGATTTTCAAAATCAAAAAACAGGAGACCCCTGGTTTGAGGTGGTTGGTAATAATAAAATTGTAAAATATAATATAATACTCCCTACAGCTGTACAACAACTCACCTTTATGTAATATAATACTCCCTACAACTATATAACAACTCACCCTTATGTAAAAGTACTCCCTACAACTGTTCAACAAGTCATCCATATGTACCACATAATACTCCCTACAACTGTACAACAAATGATCCTTATGTAAGAGATAAAACGCCCTACACCTGAACAACAACTCACCTTTATGTAATATAATACTCCCTACAACTATACAACAACTTACCTTTATGTAATATAATACTCCCTACAACTGTACAACAACTCATCCATATGTAACGCATAATACTCCCTACAACTGTACAACTCACTAGATTTTCAAAACCAAAAACTGGGACACTCCTGGTATGCGGTGGTTGGTAATAATAAAACTGTAAAACAAGTGCGTAATTAAAGAAAATTGTTATGCCCCATTCATGTGAGTCAATATAGTCACATTTTCTTTGTGTTTTGGTCGTTTTTAAGCAGCTTTTTTACCTAAACAAAATGAAAATGGATGCCTCTCTTTACTGTTGGCAGATAAATTGGTCAAAAATAGGGACACCAGGGACATCTCTTGTATAAAACTGGGACAAATCACTTGATTTGGATAAATCTGCTGGGACAGGGGACACAGACTCAAAACTGGGACTGTCCCGGGTAAATAGGGACATCTGGTCACCCAATACTAGAGCCAAAGCTGCCCCACTGTGGTATCCAGTATTTCGAGGAATCTCCCTTCCAAGTACTAACCAGGCCCAACCCTGCGTAACTCCTGAGATCAGACAAGACTGATCACTGATAAGGTAATAGACAACAGTACACACTACACAGTCTATTGAACTCTAGGCTGCAGTACCTGAAGTTTGGAGCAGAGGCCCATTCCAGAGCGAGACAGGCCAGATCCACAGCGGCGTAAACCAGCAGGAAGAAGATGGTCACGATGCTGGCGATAGTGTTCAGCTTTCCAGAGAACAGCACCAACTACAAGAGCAGAGGAGAGAGAATAGCAATCAGTATTTAGTACAAAAACTATAAATACAAACATACGCGGTGATATTGTGGAGATGTGTTTTGTGCAGAAACTTGCAGAAAAATGTTGGGCAAACAAAAGTTTTAAAAATATAAATAATTTATAATAATACAAATAATACAAATGTACAAAAAACATATAATTTCAGCAAAACAGCATTATTTTTTATTATAATGCAACAGAAAATATAATAATATGCTAGAAGATACAACCAGTTAAGACAAAATTATATATTTACAACTGAAACACAGCTTTTCATGACAATAAGAAAAATAATTACTGTGTGAAATACATTGTTGAAATAAGTTGTTTTTGCTATTGGCATCTACAAAAGATCCAGTCCAAGAATTGAAACATTAAGTCTTATGAGGCAAGGTATTATAAATATAAAATGTCTTAATTATAACAACATTTTAATTATAATGGATAAACTAAGAGTTCATAATAAACGATTATTATGTAGTTTATGAAGGTCAAATGCTACAGAAATCTCCCAGGTCCCATTTGGAAACCTGATTATCTGAGTTACAATTAAAGCTCTCAGACTTTGGGGGGACTGCAGGGGGTCCCAGAGGCTACACCTGGGGAGTCGCTAATGCTAATCGTCGCTAACTCTCGGCCGTAATTAAGATTGATATCTGAGCCGCTGCCGTGACAACCGTGACCCATTTGAGCCACATTTAGTGTTCTCAGAGGGGGACTTCGGAGGTCCGTCTACTCCACCTGACAGAGACCAGAGGTACGAATGTGAGAAACACTGAGATACAGGACTACACTCGTACAATACTCCCTACAACTGTACAACTGACCTTTATGTACTATAATACTCCCTATACAACAATTCATCCTTATGTATAATACCCCTACAACTGTACAACAACTCACCCTTATGTAATATAATACTCCTTACAACGGTACAACAACTTGCCCTTATTTAACATATAATACTCCCTACAACTGTACAACAACTCATGCTTATGTATCATACTCCCTACAACTGTACGACAACTCACATTTATGTAATATAATACTCCCTACAACTGTACAACTAACCCTTATGTAACAGATAATAGTCCCTACAACTATACAACTACTCACTCTCATGTAATATAATACTCCTTACAACGGTACAACAACTCGCCCTTATTTAACATATAATACTCCCTACAAGTGTACAACAACTCATTCTTATGTATCATACTCCCTACAACTGTATGACAACTCACCCTTATGTAACAGATAATAGTACATACAACTGTACAACTCATCCTTATGTAACAGATAAAATTCCCTACAACTGTACAACTCACCATTATGTAACAGATAATACTCCCTACAACTATACAACAACTCACCTGCATGTAACACATAATGATCCCTACAACTGTACAACAACTCACCCTTATGTAACAGATAACCTTTTGTTGTTATAATATATTGCAATGTGTAATAATTTCCTTGTGGATCAATAAAGTTTGTCTAAGTCTAAGAATGTCAAAACATACTATTCTGCTACATGCACTTGAACACACCAACAAAAAAAGGTTAGAATTCAGAACAGTTGTTTGAGTAGGTGATTTTCTTTGACATTAAGTAGCTAGAAAAAAGTGACATTTTCTAACTTCACTGCCAAATAAAAAAGAAAACAGTGAGAAAAAAATGTTTAACCAATCAAACAAAATTGCACTTGTCAAAAGTATTAAAAAGTAAATAAACACTCAAAATTCTTCTGTAAATTGTGTATATATATTCTTTTGTGGTGTGAGATTTACCAGGTATTAAACTGCAATGACACTTTTAAAATACAATTAAAACAAATAAATATATAAATACGATTTCTAATATGACCTAACAAAAAATAAATCTATGCTCGTATTAAATTAACTAGTTCAATTTCTTAGTAGCTGAGTTTAAAGGTGTGCTGTGCAACTTTTCTGGTAGAGGATACAACAACTCACCTTTATGTCACAGATAATGCTCCCTACAACTGTAAACCACTCACCCTTATGTCACAGATAATACTCCCTACAACTGTGCAACTCACCCTTATGTCACAGATAATACTCCCTACAACTGTGCAACTCACCCTTATGTAACAGATAATGCTCCCTACAACTGTACAACTCACCCTTATGTAACAGATAATGCTCCCTACAACTGTAAACCACTCACCCTTATGTCACAGATAATACTCCCTACAACTGTGCAACTCACCCTTATGTAACAGATAATACTCCCTACAACTGTGCAATTCACCCTTATGTAACAGATAATGCTCCCTACAACTGTACTACAGTTCATCCTTATGTAAATATAATAGTCCCTACAACTGTACAACAACTCACCTTTATGTAATATAATACTCCCTACAACTGTACAACAACTCATCCTTATGAATAATACTCCCTACAACTGTACAACAACTCACCCTTATGTAATATAATAAACCCTACAACTGTAGAACAACTCACCTGTATGTAATATAATACTCCCTACAACCATACAACAACTCATCCTTATGTATAATACTCCATAAAATTGTACAACAACTCACCCTTATGGAACAGATAATACTCCCTACAACTGTACAACAACAAGGATTTATTTATTTTTTATTTTTTTTTTGGAAAGTTCTACAGTATGGCATTTGATTTAATTGTCTCCATGGAGACAAGCAGGCCACATCACCAGGCCAAGTTACAGGTCAGATCTGTGGAGAAGTGGGATCTGCTCATGTTATTAATCTATTTTTGTGGTAGTTTTGAGAAATAAAAACACTCGTACTTGAATACACACAAGCTATATTTGTTTAATGCCATACTGCGGAACATCCCAAGCAAAGCAATGGCATCGGTCGGTAGTATTAGTATATTACAGTATCACAGTATCTCATCTCCTTCAGGTGACAGTGAGGGAGTGAACCAGATTTGAACCCTGCAGGACCGAGGAGCCCAGGAGACTCTTAATAGTGTAGAGAATGATGACCCCATTAGAAGTACAGCTCCCTGCCATGTTCACTGACACCTGCACGCGTCAGGCAACCGCTCACATCTTTATTCAATCACATTTGACTTTTCATGCAAGTTTTTTTTTTTTTTCGTTTTCCCTTCGGCACTTCAGCTCGAGCGAGTGGTGCTTGTCATTTAAAGAGCTCTGTAGTGCAGATTGTTAGCATATGCTGAATTAAAGAAGAGGTTTTATTTTGAATATATTGAGAGTACAGTATGTTGAGATGATTTAAATGACAGTATTGATTCAAATGACTAAAATTTATAAAAGAGCTTAAAGGTGCACTATGTAACTTTTTGGTTGGGGTCCGTCACCTGCTTGTTTCTATAAATAGGTCACTGCTCTTCCTGGAATGTTCCACAGTATGGCATTAAACGGCTCTACCTTACATTTATTCCATTGCAGCTGGTTTTATTGTACACCTTAAAACAGATATTCTTCCTGAGTGTGAGCGCGGGTGCCTCTCCACAGATCTGACATGTAACTTGGTCTGGTTTCATCTCCTTGAAGATAGAAAGTTCTCTTCACTGACAAAATTTCAAGAATTTTCTATGACTTTACGGCACCTATATGTGTAGAATTGATCAGACGTTTAGGGCTAAATATGAAATGATAACCCTTTCCACTCACCTTATGGTTTGTGATTATAGTTAACATTCAAAATACTGTCAGTGCATTTGTTGTCATCTCTTTTAAACAAATGGCGCAGACTTTCAGAAATAATAATAATAGCCTGATGATAACTTAAAGAGACAGTCCAGAATTTTGGACATAGGACCTCATTTCCTAGTGAGTCAGAGTGTTGGAGACGTGTGGAGACACTTTTTTAAATATTCCATCCAGTCCTTGTATTTGCAGAGGTCACTGGTGTTAGACTAGTGCATGTCAATGGCCATAGTTATCCTGCCACTCCACAAAACACCTGAAGCAAATCTATTATTACACCAGACTGTCAATGTAAATGTTTGTGTCGACAGAATCACTTTAGAAGTAATACCAACCTTGCATTTGAAGGATTTATGTCCGAGCAGCAGCAGTGAGTTGTACTTCCTGATAGAAAGCTTGGCAGCGGTGGACTGATATCACCTCGCACCTATCTTACCCACAAAGTAAAAAGTCCCTCAACATGCAACGATTCACACGATGCAAGGTTAGTTTTATTTCAAACATTATTCTATCAACATAGACATCTACAAGACTGTTTTAAGTGGAAAGCCAACTATGGCCTTTGACATGCACTAGCCTAGCACCAGTGACCTCTGCAAATACAAGGACTGGATGGAATATTTAAAAAAGTGTGTCCACATGTCTTCAACTCTCTGGCTCACTAGGAAATGAGGTCCTATGTCCAAAATTCTAGACTGTGCCTTTAACAGAACACTGTAGTTGCGTGAAAGAGACACTAAGGCTACGTTTATATGATGATGGTCTGAACAGAAGACGCAAAAGTGGTGTCACGTCTTCACTTTCTAATCAGTGTTTAGACGAGCGTTTTTGGGAGGAAATCTGCATGCATACGGTGACTCAAAAGTGTGTGGAATTCACTTGGGTATGCATTCACTTAAAGCAACAAGTGCATCTTTGGACATATGGAAGTTTTCACGCCACGCATTTTCATCAGCTACTCCTTTCACAAAGTTGTCCCACCGTCGACTGGTTCTCCAGGTCTCGTCCATATCCGTCTGACTCGCCTGCGACGAACTGGTGCATCCAGAATTTGACAGAGGTGATTGCTGATACTTCTCTGTTCACTAACAGTATCTCCGCAGATTCTGTACATTTGTTGGGATGCCTCCTGTAAGTTTATTAGGGCAGTGTAGATGGAAACACTATGGCGGAGCATCTTCAACTTTTTCACTCTGGAGGGTAGTTTTAGACTTTTGCGTTTTTAAGCCCCAAAAACGCCATCACCATCTAAAGGAAAGACACTTCCAATAAAACA